CCGAACCGCGCGAATGAAGGAGGCTGGGGAAAATTGGTGTAATGATGGAGAAACTGGGTGGTCCAGACCCCCAGGAAACCATCCTGAGGGATGCCCGAAGCGTGGGCTGCTGCTTCGGGTGGTCTTTTGGCTGTAATTGAGGAAAGATTGACCTCTTTCTCTGGCTGTGGGTGATAAATTCCATCCTTCTCACTTAATAAGGTCTCTACCGCTGCTGTTACACCAAGTTGGATTATTCATGTGGTTGGAAAGAATCATAGAATCATAGAATGGCCTAGGCTGGAAGGGACCTTAGAGATTATCTAGTCCAACCTCCCTGTTGTGAGCAGGGACACCACCTCAGGTAGCAGGGTCTTGCTAAAGGCTAAGACTAAGAGTTTTGCTTTCTTAAATGAAGCACGTTGGATTTTTAATGATTTTTATGCATTATATATTGAATTGTACAGTACAATTATAAGGTTACAGAAGCATAATGAAATTGAGATACAGTCACGTACATAAAAACGCTCTTAAGAGAAGGATGGGGCTCAATTTCTACTAGATATAACCAAGGTGTATCTTTTAATCTCCATTCTGAGCATGTTAAAAGTCTCATCATTCCTACTTGTTCTTATATCTCGTATAATAAATATATATTATAGATAATACAAGCCATAGAAGGCACTGCACTTTGTACCCTCAGCTCCTGCATGGTGCAGCCAGCAGTGGGGTTTGGACTGTTAAATGAGATGTGTTTTATAACATATTTCCTGTTTCTGGAGTCAATAAAATGTGTACAACGAGGGGCACTTGTGGGTGATTTCTGGCTGAGAAACAACCAATGTGCATAAGGGTGCTGCAGCAAACCTTTAGAATGAGCTTCAAATTTAGCTTTATACCTTGCAGCCGTTAAGTCTGCTCTAGCTCCAAGTAAATTCTTGGCCTAACAGGCCTTTCCAAAAAAATATCCTTGATATTCTCCACAGCAGGTGGTTTGGTTGTGCTTTTGAAGGGAGGAGGGGGAAAGCAAATAAATTGTACTTTAAATTTCAACTCTGCATATATGAGGTAAGTCATGATGCTTTTAGTAAGGACAGGCCAATGGTTGCGTAGAACCACAGATTTTTTTTGATGCACCGAGCACGGTTTCTCTGCCAGATTGGGCGATCTGTCGTCTCTGAGGTTTTCACGTTTGCTGCCTTCGCTCCGCAGACTCTACCGAGGAGAACAATTTACACAAGGACCTGCTGACTTCCATGCTCATTCTGCTCCTGGTCTTCATCATCTTCATTCTGTTGGCCGGCTATTTCTTCAGGTAGGTCTGCGTGGAGCTCTGCGTTTGCAGAACTTAGCCGAGAGCCTGGTTTTGATATGATCTAACAAGGAAATGAAATACGTATTTATGGTGAGGCGGAAGCCTCCGTCACGGTGTAGAGGAGGCTGCAGCGGCGCCGGCGGCGGTGGCGGCTCTCGCTGGGGCCATGGAGAGGAAAAATTTCTCCAGACTTACATGGTTGGTAAAGGCTGGTTTGGGGGAAAACGCTTGTTAGCCCACAACACGGTTGCTCAGAGTGACGTGGTGTTTGTATTTCAGGTTCAGGAGGCACAGGAAAGCTGTGGTGAACTCCGGGGACAAAAAGATGCCAAATGGCATCTTAGAAGAACAAGGTATGGGGAGATTTGCTTCCATTCTCAGTGTGAAAGTTTTGTGTGTAGGCACAACTGTGTTCGCTATTCTGTTAATTGTGCCTGCTTTTTATTTATAATATAAGCTATAGGGTTATCGTGAAAGAGAAAAAAGGGGTTTTTAAAAGTGCTACATATTTAAATATGTGTATGTATAATCTTAACCTCTAGTTGTTGGCTTCAAGTAATTTCCACTGTAAGTTATGATACAGCAAATGTTTCTTTGTAAATGCTTCCCGTGCGTTTTATATACGTTCTATTAGGGTCGCCAGCTGAAATCCAGCTGTGATCTTTGTATTTAGAGAAAGAATTGCAGTATTTCTTCTTAAAAGTGAGGAAAAAAACAGTCCTTAACTCGGTGAAATTACTGACTGGTTGTGAAGAGAAACAAGCAGGGGATGAGACAGGGCAGCGCTGTAACCCCACAGCAGTAAAATAAAACACTCTCAAGGGTTGAAAATATTCTCCACCGATTTCAGTTTGGTTTTTTTTTCAATGTTCTGGGTTTCTCTCTGTCCCTTCGCCTGGGTTACCCTGTGGGGCTCAGCTCAAACCTTCCAAACACGGAAAGAGCCGTCCGTTTCACGCTTACAAATTTCTTTTTAGCCGCGAGGAGAGACTCGGTGATAAAAAGAATTCCCTCCTTTGTGCCGTGTGTGAAGTGCACAGTGGGTTAATGAGCACGGCGGCACTCAGAGAGAAAGTCAAACCTCTAAATATACCCGTCGGCTTCCTGTCGGGTCAGACTTGTGCCATGTCTCACCTTTAAGGGTTTGGAGATCCCCGGCCCTGCATAGCACCCTCGGGCGACTTTTAGAAACCTCCCCCGCTCCAGCATGTAGGGCAGCGCTCTGCCCTTCCCTTTGCCACCTTTGTAAATAAAACTTGTCTTTGCCAAACGCTGTGGCTGAATCCCTCCGCTTTTTCCAGCCACCCCGTGGGGATGCTCATTTCCATTTCCAGGTGGCTGGTTGTGCACTTGTAGGGTTGGTGGTTGGACTCGATGATCCCAAGGGTCTTCTCCAACTTGAATGATTCTGTAATTCTCTGATTCTAAGACCTGAAGGTGTGCTGGTGCTTTATTTCCCAGTGGGAGCTGAGGTCGAGGTGGTCAACCTCAACACAGGCCAAACCGTGCTGCCGCAGAGCATTTGAGTCCCTGGGTTGGGTCCTCTTGGGGCAGCGAACAGCTCCTCGCAGCGCAGTTTCCGTTGTCTGCCAAGATAAAGTCTTCTGAAGTTTTCTGAGGTTTTTCTCCCCCCAGGTGAAGTAGCCTAGCATATCTCTTCAGTGGTAGGTGCTAAAAGGTGCCTCTGCCTTGTGGCAGAGCAGCTCTGGGTCAGCAGAGGGAACCTTCTCCTTTTCTAAATCAAAACTTGGTCGCGTTTTCACAGAATCACGGAATTACTGAGGCTGGAAAAGACCTCTGAGATTGCCGAGTCGAGTCTATTTTAGTCCAGTGTAAACCCTGGAAGATTTTAAGGCCAGGCTGGATGGGGCTCTGAGCAACCTGGTCTAGTGGGAGATGTCCCTGCCCATGGCAGGGGGTTGGAACTAGATGATCTTTAAGGTCCCTTCCAACCCTGACAATTCTATGATTCTATGATTAATTCTGCCATGAGTGGTTCGACTTGAATTTGTTGTGTTCTCAAAGCGGCTCCTGGGCCTGGGGTTTCGTTTTCTTATTTCTCACCGATGGAGTTCTCTCATTTGAGAGGCGTGTTTTGGCATCTCCTAGCTTAAAAACCAATTTGCAGTTGGAAATGGCTTGTTCTGTGTTGCCCTGGACGTACCTTTAACACGTGCTTCCCCTGATCTGACAGAACAGCAACGGGTCATGCTGCTCAGCAGGTCTCCCTCGGGCCCCAAGAAGTATTTCCCGATCCCGGTGGAAAATCTCGAAGAGGAGATACGGATGCGATCGGCGGACGAAGGGAAACTCTTCCGGGAGGAGTTTAACGTAAGTCCTGGCACGGAGAGGAACGTCTGCGTGTGTGTGTGGAGGGGAGGGGGAAAATCCAGCCACCTGCTAATATTAATAATTATTTTAAAATGTGTTTGGTGGGCGATGCCGCCGTCTCAGAGCTGTTGGTGCGTGCTCTGTCCCGTGTGGTCACCCTCTGTCTGGGCAAAATCTGAGAAGTTAACTGCATTATGCTGCCAAATCTGTAAGCCATCAACTGTTTGACACTTGTTAACGTTTAATGAAGGTCTTCAGGGGTTGCCAGAAAGCTGGAGGAGAGAGAAATCGCAGATGAATCTCTTCAGCATTGATTTTCTCGGTGGTGGTGGAGGGGTTTTTAGGTGTCTGCGTGCCTCACCTCTCTGTTACTTGGAGGAGAAGACACAGTGGGGCTTTTAATATGGCCCTAGCGAAATTTTGGGGGTAATTTGACCTTTTGCTCTTTGCTACCATCCCGTCGCTTCCCTGTCTGCAGCACCGTGGCGGAGATGTTTCTACACTGTGTCTCAGCTTGAAGAGTTTCTCTCAAAGCATTGCCTTGGTCAGAAAGGACAGCGTATCCTCTGCCCATAATCCGAGTTTTGGTTTCCTGGGGTCACACAGATAAGTGTGAACCGGGGTCTGTGGCGAGCTGCTGCAGAGCTAGTTTCGATGGAGAAATAGTCTCCTTTTCGGGCGCCTTTTCCACACTTTCATTATTTCTTTTCACTTCTCCTAACGGCAGAAGCGAGTTGCACGGAGTGTAAATGTCGAATACGGAGTTGTCGAAGCCAGCGCGTGCGTTGATTAGACAGTCTGTGAAGTTGCCTTCTTAATTAGAAACATATTTATATGTGCAGCTTGTTTGGTGATATATTTAAAACACATAAATTTCTGCGCCTTGTCGGAGAAGGAGCGTGCAGATTAATTTGAGGAGATGCGTGCTCCTGACTTCCGACTTTCCGAATTAATTCGGTCTGTGGCTGGGGGTGAAACAAGTTGTCCGGTTCAATTTTTGAAACCTGACGGGCTTGAACCGTTTTCTGCACCCATGGCTGTGACTTTTCTGCCTGTGCACAAGCACCGAATCTGAAAACCGGGATCGGGGTCTCCAGAAAGGCTCAGTCCGAGCCTGATGGTTCATGGAGTCTATTTCTTTTTATTTTCTTTCCCTGCTGTATCTCCTGTGGCTGCTCACGTGGGTGTGTGAGCTGATGGCTGAGAGAAGAGGAAAGGGTGAAAAACAACTGAAAATCAAAGTGAACAGATCTAGGCTGAAAATGTTGAGTGCTGTGAGCTGGTGGTGCCCAGGTACAGGTACCAGCCAGGGGGGTTAGGTCCCAAGTGATTTTTCTGGTGGAGAAAACCCCAGAGCAAGCGCTGATGGATGAAGACAGGCAGGGAATAGACAGGATTTTTGAGGACAGGTCTCTTAGGTTTATGTGCCTAACGGTAGTTCTTCAAAACTCTCGATTTTTATCGTAATGCCCTAAATTACTCCTTGCACTTGTTGCACTTTTACCCATATAGCAGAGGCTTCTTCTACCCTCAATTCCTTCGCTTTTTTTAAATTATTTGATTTTTTCATGAGCATAGAACACTAGGAAGAAACTGTTGTTTCTAAACAGAAGAAAAAAAAAAGGCAGAAAAAATAATTCCCATATTTCTTTCTGTATGGGCTTCTGTTTATTATCCATAATGCAAGATGAGGTAGGTCTTGGAAGTTGATGGTGGCTGCTTCATTGCCTTGGTTTTCAGATTAATGTCTGGAAACCTTCCTGTAAAGATTTGCTCTTGAAATTTTAATTTTGACTTAAAATGGCCCTGTGGTGAAGATGAAAAAAAAAAAAGAGATTAAAAAAAAAAAGGAGAAAACATGGTGATGCTGAAGGAGATCGAGCTCCTCGGAAGCTTTGGGGAGATTTTAGGATTCCCGTGACGAGGGAGCAGATCCCGGCTGCGGTGGCAGCAGCTGACCCGGGGCCACCAACACTCCTGGGCCCCTCGTGACTCGCGGGTGATGGAGAGGAGGTGACAAAAAAATCCCGCCCTCCCTGCCCCAGACCGGTGGGAGCAGCCCAACGGGCGGCCGGGGCTCAGCGCCCGCTCGGCGTCACACCACGACCTTTCTAGGGAGGCGGCGGGGCCGTCCAGGTGTGAGGAGCAGGGGACGGAGAGATTTTCATTTATTTTTTTTTGCCAGGCTTGATGGCTTTTCACGCACAACGCGAGCGGCTGCTCCTTGGGAGTTTGTTGCCCGACTCGGGGAGCCTGAGGAGATTGTGTTTGAAGTGCTCGCTCTTTCTGTTTGGGCGAAGCGTAAAGGAAGTTTTCTGCGTGCTTTAAGTTGTAGTTTGATTAGCAGAACCACGGCCTTCGTTCAGATAAGGAGTTAAGCAGTTTGCTAAAAGCGCCTTTCGTTTTCTGCTCTTTTAACCTTCCCTCTCATTTTTTCTACTTACGTTCACAAGTTTAAGTGATACATATTTAGAAAAAAAAACAAAAAAACC